CGAGGCCATGGAGCTTAGTGTTTAATGGAGTATATGAACGCCCACACAGGCCATCAAAATAGTGTGGCCAACTGTGCAGCAGGGAAAGCACAGGCACTGTGGTAGCAGGTTACAGGAGCCCTGGCCCAGATCTGGGAAAGGGCAGGGAAATCTTCCAAGAGGACCTGGCTGTCTACATTGAAAGCTAATGATTGTCTTGCCTTTGCTAATTTTTTTTTTCTTTTTTTTTGTGACCAGTAAGGGGATCGCAACCCTTGGCTTAGTGTTGCCCGCACCTTGCTCAGCCAGTGAGCACACCGGCCATCCCTATATAGGATCCGAAACCGCGGGGGGGGGGCGGGGGGGAGTGCCACTGCGCTCCCAGCGTGGCACTCTCCTGAGTGAGCCACGGGGTTGGCCCTGCCTTTGGTAATTTTAAAGAAGAAAAATGTTGGGATACGGAGTAGAAGGCAACTGGAGGAAATACTATATTGGGAGGATGGTTGAACATACAATAAAGGACTATAAACAGAAAGCCAGTGTAGGACTGCAGAATACAGCTGCTGGTTTCAGCTGAGGTGCCGAACCCTGGCTGGTCATTGGTGCTACCGTGTCATTGGAGGCTTTGAACAAGTCCCTACATGCCTCTGGGACTTGAGTGTCTTCCTCTGTGAAAATGAGGCAGCAGAACTAGAAAACAGCTGAGGTCCATTTGCGTTGTAAAATTTTTCAATTCCAATATGCTACACCCTACAAAGGGTTTTTTAAAAACCTAGAACACTTTTGTAAATTTTAGCTCAGGAATGTGCTAATATGAAAGGCAGGCTGGTGGAGAAAGTCTCAATCTCTCTATTTCTCTCTCTGTCTTCCTCTCTTTCTTTCTCATCCAGGGAGAAGGTAGTGAGCACTTACTCTGGACCAGGCAAGATGGTAGCACACTGCTGAGAATATAGAGATGAAGAAGCTTGAGTCCTTGCTTCCTGAAGGATCCCAGGAGAGCAAGAAAGCCAGAAATGGAACAGCAAGAAAATCTAACACCTACGAAGCTGTTATAACAAGCGAGGTACCCTTCTAAACACATTCCACATTCCACTTGCTTAATCTCATGACAAGCCAGTGATATTGGTACTTACCCATATTTTATGGGAGAGGAAACAGAAACACGGGGAAGTTAAGCGACTCGTTCAACAGAATTGAACAAGACTTCTTTCTCCAGAATCCCCTAAAAATTACCAATTATGCGTAGATCCCAAGCAAGAAGAGAAATTAAAATATGCTAATACTGTTTGTCCAGTACACCCTCATATTTCAAAACCTCTCCCATTTTTATATGTTTGGCTTATTGTTTCAAAGTATACTGCAGTTGCTAATATAAGACAAAAATATCAAGTATCTTCATGTCATAGCACATGCATATATAAAATATATATACTCTATATAATATGGTATTAATGTATAATAATAGTACTAGTACTTGAAAATTAGAATTGTTCCAGAAATTATTGACTATTTTCTCTCTCTCCCCAACTAGATAATAGGCTTTTTGAGGACAGAGATGGCGGCTGGCTTTCTATTACATCCCCACTCTCCAACATCATTCTTGTACTGTTCTTAGGATGCAATCTATACTATAAAGGAAACTGTCCAGAAATCAACAAGTCACAGATGATTTTCTGCTTCATAATATTGAAGTGCTCCTTTTTCCAGTAAACATCAGCTCTGTGAAAAAGAAGTTGTGAAACTGACGTTGTTTTGACAGAAAGGCTGCTTTTGGTTTTGTTTTGTAAGTCTGTATTTAATATAACATACCAGAAAGCAAGCTGTTCAGCTTCAAGTGAGTCTAAAAAACAGCAACAGTATTGTCATTGAGTGGTGACACATCTTCAAGATTAGTAAGTCAGAAAAGCAGAGAATACATTTGATTTAACACAATCTGTGTGATTTAACACAGTCTGTACTTTAAGCTCTTGTAGAAAACAAATGTCCCGATAATATAACAAATTGTGGACTAAAAATACAGAAAAACAGCTCTTATGAGATTAGCGAGCTACAAGGAATTCAAGAGGCCCAAGGAGGAAACTTAACACTATAGAGGCGGAGTAACTTACGTAAAGTTACAAAACCCATATCTAGTGATAATGATGATGATGATCATACAATAACAATGATCAATGATAATAATAAAAGGGAGGAGCAGGAGGGAGGAATAGCAGAAATTCTGGACAGATTATACCTGGAGCATGCCCTCGCTGCCCTCCCTTCCCCAGTCCAATCCAACCATTAGCCTCTTCTGAGCTGAGCAACTGCTGGTGCAGGAGGCAGGCGGGTCCTAGAAGATGACGAGTAAGAGCAGACAGAGCTGTTATGGGATTTTCTGCACTCTGGGCTGGACAAGAGCCTGGGAACCAGAGGCAGGAAGCCTCGGGTCAAAGACCAGGAACAGCATCCTAAAGAGAGCTTGAAACGATGTCTGTGAGCCCCAGAGAAGGGTAGCTGTGGCTGGATGCCTTGTTGTTTTCTGAGGAGCTATGAGGGGCCTGAAGTTGGCCTGAGTCCTCTCTACTCCTGAAGCTAAAGAAGGCTGGCCTTTGCTACTTCTCCTGGTGCCTCAACAGGGAATTAAACTCTTGAAGACTGATCCAAAGCCAACCCACAGAGGCAGAACTAGTTGTTCATACCACGGTTTGCAGCATTGCTGCTGCTGAAGTGAATCCAACAGCTGGACCTGAACCACAGTAAGTAGACTAATTAAAATAGCCCAGCTATGAAGATCCAGCAGCCAGTGATGGTAAGAACAAATATAACCCCCAGAAAAGGTGGCATTAATGAAATGAAACCAACTGGGAACCAGATGACAAGTTGAATTAAAATACAGGAGCATGTATAGTGCTATAAAGTTATCAGATGATTTTGAGAAGCTGTTTAATGCTGAAACTTGAATAATCAGAAAATCAAGTAGAAGTAGAGATAGCTCAAACCATAGATGATATAAATAAATGGATATTATAAGGGAAAAGATAATAGACTTAGAAGATGGATCCAAACTTGACATACAAACAATAGTCAACACTTAGCAGTGTTTCCTATGGTCCAGGCACTGGTCTGGACACTTAACTCATTTAATCTTCTCAACAATCCTATAATGTAGGTGTCATTATTAATACCTGCTACAGTCTGAATGTTTATGACCATGTAAAATTCATATGTTGAAACCAAACCCTCATGGTGATGGCATGAAAAGGTGGGGACTTTGGGAGGTGATTAGGTCGTGAGGGCTCCACCTTCATGAATGGGATTAGTGCCCTTATGAAAGATGCTTGAGGAAGCCCATTTGCCCCTTCCACCATGTGAGGACACATAGAACGTGCTGTCTATAAAGCAGAATGAGACTTCACTAGACAACAAATCTACTGGAGCCTTGATCTTGGACTTCCAAGCCTCCAGAACTGTGAGCAATAAGTTTCTATCATTTATAAATTACTCAGTCTAAGGTATTTTATTATAGCAACCTGAATGGACTAAGATATCCCCCATTTTGGGGATGAGGAAAGTAAGGCACAAAGAAGTTAAGTCACATGCTTCATATTTAAACCCAGGTACGCCGGCTCCAACTTTAGTAGCAGCTGAAGAAGAAGAAAGAAAAGAGAAAGTGAAGAGGCAATAATTAAGCAAGAAGAAATTCTCTTGGGGCTGGAAAGAGACTTGTCTGCAGATTGAAAGGGTCCACTGAGCTCTAGGCATAAGAGAAAAGACATATACTTAGACTTATGCTGATAAAATTCCTGAACTACAGAGGGAAAAAAGGGAAAATCTTACAAATT